TGTCTTTTTCTGTTGCAAACATTACTATTGCTGTTCTTTTCTGGTTTCCATTCCTATTTGAAGGAATGTAAACTGACTTAACACCTTTGCTTCTTAGACATCATAGTAGTAAGACTTTTAAAGCATTTCTAAGTAGTTTAGTTAACTTTGCTGTATATTTCCACTGTTTTTCTTTTGCTTTATAGTTTTCTTCTCTTCTAGTTATTTGTACTAGTTTATTATTGTTAACTGGTATGGCCTATGGAATGTCTTTTTTTTTGCCTTTTTCTATCTGTACAATTGCAAGTGCCTTGTATTTTGATCTTTTGATTCTTATTATTTGGGCATTTTTGAATCTCCTGCAGATATATTCTAGCTCCCTTTTATTGATGCCTATTGGCAAGTCCCATATTGTTATATATATTTTGTCACTAGATTTCTTATTTAATTTGTAGTTATTTGTGTTATTCTCTGTCTCATTTTCTTTCTTGTCATGTGTTTCTTCTTTCTTTTTCATTGTGCTATTTCTTTTTCTACAGTATTCTTCCTTGTATAATCTTTGTTTTTCTTTTATGTCTTTCTGTTCTTCTGATATTAGTTTATACCAATCCTCTTCTTTTCTGCTAATTCTTTGGATTGCTTTATTTCTGTCATGTTTACAATTGAAGTCTACCTCTATCTACAAGTTACCTTTTTGAAGACTTCTTTAATGGCTTTAACATGTTCATTGTTTTTTAGTGACTATTTGATGAATTTTGTACATTTTTTTTTTGTTGTTCCTGGCATATTATGTACTGTTATGTTGACAAGTAGACTGTTATTTTGGTTGCAATCTCTTTTGTTTGGCACCCACATGCTCTTCTCTAGTAGTTCTTCTACTATATCAATTTCTCTTTTGAATTTTTGTTTTATTTCATATTGTGCTTCTGCCTTTTCTGTTGCTATGCTATGTTTTAATTCTTTCCAATTTGCATTTATATTTATTTTCTTTGCAATTTCTTCTTGTTAAGCTGCTAAGTTAGTTTTTTGTATTTTTTCTTTATGCTACCTGCCTTCTTCTATATCTACTTCTAGTATTGGCTCTTGTCTAGTCTTTTGAATTAATTCTAATTTTGTTGGTTGAAGTTGCCTTTTTGATGTATTATCTGTTTGTTCTAGAACTGGTTCTATTATTATTGCATAATTACTTTGTTTTACTATGCTTAGCTTTTTTGCTGGCTGCTCTATCTCTGCTTTTCCTATTAACTCTCTTGTTAATCTCAGTAGTGCAACCTCATTTGGATTCTATTCTGTTAGCATAGCAATGATTCTATCTTTTCTATCAAGTATAATATATGTTTTATCTGCTTGATTAAGGAATACCCTATTGTGTAAACTATTAATGACCTAGTATGCTTTTTGGATATATATTGTTATTAAACTGTTACCATATTCTCCTAATGCATTTATATTTGCTTTAATTTGTACATATTTTTGCTTTGTTCTGTTTGCATGTGACTGGTTTGTTTGCCTACATGACTGGGTTGTTTGCCTGTTTATATGTTTGTGTTCTTGTAATTAAAACAGATTTGTAATACAGAGTTAGTACCAATTTCCCAAAATTTCTGTTTATACATATTTTCAAGAACAAATTTTTGGGTTCCCTTGTTTTTCTTTTGTTAGTCTACTTATTTTTTAGCTGCTTTTTTTTTTCTTATATCTTTTCTGGATGCTCTTCTTTTTTACTTAGTTCTACCAAAGTAGTTTAGATAGCCATTTTTGTATAAATTTGATTTTTTGTTTCTTGCCGAATTTGTATTTGAGTGATTAGTGAGAAGAGTATTAATCTGAATTAGTTGTTCTGGCCATTTTTGCATTTTATTTGTTTGAACCTATTCTATATATATATTATTTTTAAATACTGATGTTTTACTAGCTTTTGCATTAGTTGCTATATTTGTATATATTGTATATTTGTTTTTGTTTCTTATAATATTTCTTCTTAAAACTTTTATTATTTTTTAACTGATATTTTTTCAGTTTCTGTTATTTAATAATTTCTATCTTTAGCTTTTCTATTATTATAAGACCTTTAAGCTTTTGCTTTATAATTTTTGGTTTGTTTATTTCTGTTTTGTCTGTTATTTAGTATATTGTTATCTTAATTTGATTGCTGTTCTTCTTTATTAATACATTTGGAATCATATTAATGTTTTGTTTATTCTTATTTATTGTTGCAACTATTCTTTATCTGTTCTTCTTTTCTTATATATTCTTCATATCTATTAATCTTGATTACTAATTTATTCTCTTTGCTTTGTATCTATTAATATTTAATTAATATTTTTTTTTTTTTTTTACTCACCTTTTCTAGTTATTTATAATTTCATGCATTATATATTACTTATTTTTTTTTTCTTTTATTTTCTGATATATGTTTTTATTTAACTTGCATTGCCTAAGTATTTTGTTCACTTGTTCTAAAGTGTCTTTGTACTTCTCTACTTGCTAAACTACTAAGTACTTTTGATTTAATTGCTTTGAACTATTTTTTTTTTTTTCTTTTACTTGATTGGTTTTGATAGTTTTTTAGTTATTATCATATAATTAGCTTTTTTTTCTTGTATCAAGCAGTAGTTTAAATATATTAGGCCTGCTTCATTTATTCTAACTACTTTTTTCTTTTACAAATATGTGTTCAAAAGTTCTTATATTTTAGTACCATACTTAAACATTGTTTATAGTTTACTTTCTGTTCTTATATTTATTTTTAACTTTTTTGCTTTAAGTATTATAAGACATATTAAGTTATTTTTTAATATGTTTCAATTTCTGGTATTTTCTTTGTTTTTTATATATTTTTTGTTAAATCTACTCTTTAACAACCTTGTGTTATTCTCTGTTTTGTTGGCTATCCAAGACTGTATTGTTTGTTTAGTCTTGCTAAAAAACTACTTATTTGCTTTATAATTAATTTTTATTATAATATTCTATAGCTGTCAAGATCTTTGTATTCTATTATGCAGTTTTTTACTATTTTTTGCAAGTTGCTTTTTTGTTTTGTTAGGCTTATTATTGGCTGATATATTTCATTTAAACTTCTGTCTGACATCTTCATTAGTTGTAGTATATAGCTTTATTGAATATTATTATCATATTGTTTATATATACAATCTGGCTTATTGTTATTTTTTTGCACTTTAGATCTCTTATAGTTTGGCCTATTATCTCTTTTGTTTTCTTCTTTACTTGTACTTCTTATATTTTATTATTTAACTATATTTCTAATAAGTGAACTATTTTATGTTTTAGTTCTTCTATTATCTTACTTTTTTATATATTACTGCTCTTTCTTTTTTCTAATTTTTGTGTTTATTATTATTAGTTTTGATTTGAACCTATTTATATTTATATTATTTATTTTAAAAAACTTTTTAGTTATTTCTAAAATCTTTAATAATTGTTCTTTGCTGTTTGCAACCAATGTTGTATTATCTGCATATACAATTGCTGCTTAATAAATATCTTGTAATATTGTTATATTGCATACCTTTTTAATCTTGCTACTTAACTATATACTTAAGCTTTCATTTTCTTGAACATTTTCTAGTAGTAGGCTATAAAAGAAATGCTATATTAATGATGAAATTATTTCATATTGGTCTATTCTATTTTTTGTATTATTTCTTCTATTAGGTATAAGCTATAATTATTTTCAATTGTTTCTTATAAAAAAAGTTTATTATATATTTAATTGTTCTTTTAGATATTTTAACTCTTTGTAATACTAATTCAAGGCTTTTAAGAAGAACTAAGTTAAATGCCTTTTTCATATCTCGCAGCAATATTTATATTTTTTTGTTTTTTTCTTTTGCTTCTTCTGTTATTATATTTAGAATCTGTACTAGTTACTCTGTTAAGTTTCCTAAAAGGCTTGCAAAGTTTAATTTTCTGAGTATTTCTTTTTTTATAAATACATTGGCAAGTCTTTTTGTTACTATTTTTGTTATAACTTTTCTAAATGTTTTAATTAATGCTATTGGATAAATATTGTTTAAGCTATATTTCTACTTTACATTATTTGGTATTAGGTAAACTTGTGTTATTTTCTACTTTAATAGAATTTTTTCTGTTTCTAAGCATAGGTTTGCAAAGCTTTTAAAGACTTCTTATATTTTTTTTTTTGCTCTTTTGATTAGTATATAGCTTATATTTAAGATATCTGGAGTTGTTTCTGTTTTTAACTTTCTTAATATTTTTTCCTATTTTTTTTTCTTAATTTTTTCTTTAACTTTTGTATACCAGTCCTTTTTATTGTTTTTTTATGATTTATATATTTCTTTTTACTTCTCTGTCATCATTTCTAATTTAGTGTTTCTTTTTCTAAACTGCATTTTGTAATATTCTGTTACATTTGTCTTAACCTCTTCTGGTTTTGTTATTAGATGTGTTTTCTTTTCTACTTGTTTAATAAGTTTATCAAATATTATTTTCTTATACAGTTTATTTAGAAAACTAGCTATTATTTTTTTTGGTCTGTTTTAATCATTTCACACCTTTTATTTATATTTTCTTCCATTTGTCTTCTTTGTATTTGTTTTTAGTTCTTTTTTTTTTTTTATAAAAGCTTTTGCCATCTTTTTATATCTTTTATCTAAGTACTTAACTAATTTCTTTGTAATTTTAGCAGTCTTATACCTAATTTGTTGTCTAGTACTTTTATTTGTTTATTTGTCTTACTTCTTTTTTCTTCTGTTATTTTTTGGTTTTTTTACATTTTCATATATTTAATTAATTTTTGAATCTTTATGATATTTTTTTTTTGTTGTTGTTCTTTCTAGCTAGTTTTTCTATTTGCTATTGTATTATATATATATTTTTTTAGTACCGTATAGCATGCCATAAAGTACTCCTATTAAATAGTACCCCCATATATTAGTATCTGGGTACTGTATTAGTATAATGGCCTTGAAGATCAATATGTACCCAGGTACTATATTGTTTACACAACCTTAAAAATTTATTTATACTCAGGTACTATATTATGCCATATAAATAAGATTTATACTTTTCTAATATCATTTAAACACAAGCAAGTGTGAGTAAGCAGATTCGATATTTAATATACAATTTTTTTTTAACAAAAAAAATAGAATTAAAATGAAAACAATTGTATTTTTTATAAATGGTTTTTTATTTCAAAATACTCTATTGTATTTAATTCAAATCATTCTATTGAATTTAATTCCAACTATTCTATTGTATTTAATTCGAATCATTCTATCTATTGTATTTAACTCTAATTATTCACATAATTCAACTCTTGATCTTCATAATAATCATCTTTATATTTTTCGATACTATCTTCTTTTTCTTGACTAAAATATGTTTCTATATTCTCGATTCTCTGATGATCTTCTATATTTATATCTGAACTTTCATTGCTCAAATAGACATAATTTCCATTATTACTAGCATTATTTTTTGTAACAAGATCATAATCAAATATAAGATGTTCTTTACTACCATCTTGTGCATTAGAAATTCTACAACACTTAAAGAAGTGATGAATTAAAGAAGGATCTATAGCATCCCATGCATTTTTAACCCACTGAGCAACTAAATTATAAGCTGACCTTTGAATATGACCAGTTGGAGTATAAGATTTTATTTCTTTAGCCATCTAATTATTATAATAATAGTGTAACTATTGTTATAAAATTTTTTAATATTTGAATTAAAAAATATAGTAAATATAATTTTTTTTATAAAAATCTAACCTTGGATTTAAATGATTTGTTAATTAATACATCTAATGGTTGTAACTTAGAAGTGAGCCACCAGGTATAACTGCCATGTTAGTGTTTTTTCATTAAGTCAATTTTTAACAGGATCTACTAAATGACCTTTAAAGAAATCAAGCACTAATAAAGATCATGAATTGTTAGACAAAGAGGCATGTTGATTCTATATATTTTTAACCCAAAAAAGCATTTCTTCTGTATTAGAATAGCCTTCTTTATTAGCTTGAATGATAATACCTATAAGATCGTATAATGAAAATTTTATAAATTAGATTTTATCTAATTTTTTATATATTAAATATTATATACTCTAAATATCAGGAGGAAAAACTTGACGAGAAACATTTACTAGTTTAAAGATGATTATTGCTGATAACTTTGTTCTGTCTGCCATATAGCTTAAAATTATGATAAAATTAGATTTTTATGTCCACAAGTTTGAATACTGATAGTTTTTGATCCAGTTATTTCTATAGTTGTTAAACTAGAAAGATCGAATGAAACTGGAGTTTCATCCATATTACCAATAAACTTAAGAGGATAATCATACTGAATTCTTTAATATAAGACAAATCCCAAAAATGCATGTTGCATTTCTGATAAATCTTCAGGCAATCATTGCGCTGCTGTTGTATAACAATGAGAACTAAATTAATGCTGTATCATAAATCCATCAATCCATTTGTTACTAAATTTATATTCATTAATATCAGGATACATTGTAGAATACTAATGTGATAAAGCTTTAGCTTTTAATTGTATTATTGCTCATATTACAACTTTCAAAATTTGACATAACTCTCTAACCCATTGACTTAAAACCACTTCAAGTTCTGAGTACTTTGGACGAAAGCTATTATTTAATCTCCGAACATGAGGCAAAGCTTCCATTAATTTTTGCTTAAGTTTTCATTATTTTCTAACTTGAACAGGCTTAATATTAAACACTGTAGCAGTTGCATGAATACTTTTTTGTAGATGATTTTCAAGGTAAGCTATTGCAGCTAATTTTTCATGTGCATTCCATTGGCACCACTTTTTTTCAGTAATAGTAGCATAATGATGCTGTTTATTTCCTTTTGGTAGTAATATATTCTATATAATATATTTCAAGATAAAATAAAAAATTATTTCTAACTATACTAATCTTGCTTAATATACTCAAAAAATGAGATAAAGAATTTTTTACCTCAATAGTTTTTACAAAATGCGTTTATGAAAAGTAAGATTTAAAAATTTTTTCTGATCTCTTTTTATATGATCTATCATTATAGTACCCCCCATGTAGGGCCACTGAATTTCTGCTATGACAGGTCCCAAATTCTGCCAGCTCTACAAGCTTATTTATGTGAATTTATGTGATAAATTTCTTTAATTTATGCCATAAATTCTGTGATTTCTGCGACTTTTTAAAATTTATACCAAATTTTGCGAATTAAATACAGAAATAAAAAGTTTACTATTATGTCAAACTTTTAAAAAAAATTGACCTCGGCTTTCTGCTTTTTCCAAGTAAAATGCTCATTTATCTAATTGTCTACATTGGAATTCTGGACCAGGGACCCAGAAAAATATTGATATTACTTATAGAAATTTTGGAATTAAAATCCTATAAATAAATGGGAGTAAGTCAACAGAATCCAGGCAAATTGTTTTTATTAAAATTTTTCTTAAACTTTAAGCTTAAATATCTCACTCAAAACTTAATTAATTTTGGTAATTTAGTATTTAATTTAATTCTACAAATTTGTAGAATTAAAATAAATACTAAATCATAAAAATTGATTAAGTTTTGAGTGAGATATTTAAGCTTAAAGTTTAAGAAAAATTTTAATAAAAACAATTTGTCTGGATTCTGTTGACTCACTCCTATATATAAAAAAAAATTAACAAAGTATATATATAATAAAAATTAAAAATTATTTTATAAAATATATATTGTAATATAATTTTGCAAAATAATATAATATTATTATTGTTATAAATATATTTTAATATTAAATATAATTATATATTTTTATTAAAATAATTTAATTTATATAATTATTATTTTATATATAAAAACTATAAACTAATATAATATTCAATATAATTATATATTTTTATTAAAATAATTTAATTTATATAATTATTATTTTATATATAAAAACTATAAACTAATATAATATTAATTTTAACTATTAATTATTTTACTATTTGTATAATAAAACTAATTATAAATTATTTTTTTTGTATAACTTATATTTAATAAAATATTAATTTATAATTTAATAAATATAAAATTATTAAAAACTCACTAGTATTTGCTTAACTAATATGCTAAATTATTTAATATTTTATATTTAAAATATTAATTATATAATAATTTATAAAATTATTTAAATAATAATATTTTTAATCTAATTAAAATATTACTAGTTTATAGTTATATAAATAATATTAAAGAATATAAAAAAGAAAAATTATTAAAAAAATTTTAATTTATAAAATTTATAAAACAATACTTACATTTTATAAAAATTAAACTAATATATTAAATATAATTTATTAATAAATAAAAAAATATAACATTTTTTTTTTTAATATTAAGGTGAGTATATGTGATTTAGAATTTTATTGATAGTATCAGTTGGCCAGCATCTGTTGATGTAACAGCACAGAGGCAATCATGAAAAGAGTATACAACTAGCTACTCATATAACTTTAGTTATTGTCTAATTTAAGTAGTCTGCCTAAAGGTTCTATACTAGTTGCTATATCTAGAACCTACCTGTAGAACCTCTATTTAAACACTCTAATTCTGTATTCACCACATCCTACCAATGACTCCAGTAACCTGATAAAGATATGGCATAGTTACTAAGTTATGTTTAACTTTGTACTAAACTTATCAGTATGTTCTTATCTCATACTTACAGCTTACCTGATATTGCTTTGGCCTAAACTATCACTTGCAATTAAGACTAACTATTAAACTGCTTTTATTCTTGTAAAGTTTACTCAAAACCCAGTATCCATCTTTTCAATATCCTCTCCATTATCTCTTACTAACTGTTACTTAGAACCAATAGGACTTTTTGAACTTTCAATTCAGATAGTCTAATATAATATACTTTAGTATCCTTTTTTTTTAGTAATTCTGGCAGCCTAGTTGGTCATGTGCTCTTCTACACATCTTGCTATATAGTTTATCTGCCTATTCTTTTGGGGGTGTTTTATGGGCTTCTATCAGTATAACAGTATCATCAAAAGTTTTGTGCTATCTCCTTTCTTAGGATTTCCAAGTGGGTTTTTGACTTTTCGGTTTCTTCATTTTCTATACCTAGTGGTCTTATCATGGGTTTGCACTGAAGTCTTATGCAATGCTGATTATATATTCCTCTATGTGGGTGTAACATTACACTTAGCATAAATGCCCTGAGCTTCTATTCAAGATGGGCAACTGAAGGTTACAGATACACTAATCCAACTGATTAACAGAGATAGTTACCATAATACAGACCTATTTTCCAAAATTCATTGTTTATAGGATTTGAACTTTAGACCTGTCACTTGGGAGTTAACAACCTAATCACTTCACTAAGTTGCTACACCTCAAAAAACATAACATTTAAATAAATAAATTATATTAATTATTTATAATTAGTCTAGTTAGATTTCTATTAAAAAGTATAATTTATATAAAATTCTAATTTATAGACTTTTTTATTTTTTTTAAAAAAAATATTAACAGTAAGATTATAATTTTAACTTTATTAAAATTAAATAAAGTTTTTACAAAAAAAAGCTTAGTTTTAAATTATATTTTTTTTTTAAATATTAAGATAAGTACTTGTGACTCGGAATTTTATTGATAGTACATTCAGCTAATGGTTGCATTACAACTACAGAAGGCAACTATGGAAAGAGTGTACAACTAGCCACTCATACAACTTTAGTCATTGTTTAATTTAAGTAGTTTGTCCGAAGGTTCTACACTAGCTGTCAGACCTGGAACCTGCTTGTAGGTTCCCTATTTAACTACTCTGTTCCTGTATCTATCCACCTATCTACACCTACCAAGATGCCCTGATTGATACCAGTTCAAATATGCCATGGTCACTAAGTCTTTAAAGCAGTTCACTTATATGAGGAACCTTTGACCTTGTACTAAACCTTCCAGAATCTTCTGTATCTCATTCTTACAGCTGACCTGGTATCACTATGGC